ACATCATCAGAACAATAATGCATAATTTAGAAAATAATGCAAGAATATTATAAACAAAGAGAAAAGTAGAATTTATATTTTAGCATATTTATGCCCTATTTCGTAGAGTATCAATTCTTGTTCTGATGATGTTCGCCACCGCGACAGAGGAAAGCTTAGCACCGGTTCTTCGGAGTGCTACTTCTTCGCTCTGCGGAAATCCTCATTCTGTTTCCGGTAAGTCCGTTTCACAAGTTATCTCCAATCAACTTTTCATGTTAAATGAAAAGTCATGTCGTACTATATTACGAAGTAATTCTTCACAAGCCAGTTTTTCATCAAACATCTATTTGCTACTTATTTTCAAACTAAGTAGTATTTTGAGACCATCGATTAATACATGCTTTCTGATTTGATACCCCCAATATTAACGTAATTTGCCTTGTAGCAGATCCTGCAATCCAGTTCAGTGTAACCTGAATAAGATTACCGTTTGGGGGGCAAGGACAAATGTGAACTGAATTGTTATTTCTGGGCCTACTCATCCGATTGCGAAACAATTCAACGTTCAGACCTTAGATCACCTTAAACCAAGTTCCTGATCAAGAATCTATTTTGTCTTGGGGTTCGGTAGACTTTGGAAAAGCACTGCCTTTACGCTATGATGATATTATATCGTTGATTATTCATTCACTCAGATCCACACTTATAACTCAAAGTCAATCCTCCTTTAGCTTCGGACGAAATGAAAGATGCAACTTCATGAATTAAAAAAAGGATTCTTTAAAATTCACATTTCCCTCAGTCTCCAGCCTCGTATCAAGTCCTGATCGGCAACCCTTCTCTGCACTGAACATGATTCTGTTTTTGGTTGGGAGGAACTTGTGAATTGGTCTCATCGGAAACCGAAAGAGGACTGATTGTGAGGAGAATTTCTCGGCTCAACATCCTGCAACGCCAATGAACGGTGAACCGATGACTTCTTTGCATAATCCGAAATTCTCCACTTCTCTAAAGCATTCCTTCTTTAGTTTCCGGTGATACCAGCTAACTTGGTCGTTAGAAAAGGAAATTCATGTCACAATAAATAACATGGCTAGCTTTGGAACCCAGCTTTTCTTCACACTTATCCTCTATCTGCTTGTGGATAGGCCAAGAAATGTGAAAATTGTGTAGCGATGTTAGTACAGAAATCCGAATGCCCATCAACTGAACCCTGCCATTTCCGATAAGTGTAAATCACTGCCAACGGATCACCGCATCTCACCTTGTACTTGTTGATGAGACTGTCCCGTTCCGACGAGACTCGAGCCAGTTCAACCAGCGACCGATCGCGGTCGATCTCGGCTCGCCGCAGCAGAGCCTGCGTGGAAGCAGCTCCACGATCGCCGCTCTCGTGCACTGTCAACAGTTCCTGGTGCAGCCGGTGAATTTCACTGCGTGCCTGGAAACAGAAAAAAACATGCACAATAAATAACAAAGACGATTTTTCCATCTGCCGGATTTACAGGTTTTTTTTTCTTCAAATAAAACAAAGACTTTTCAGATGTGAAAAACGATAACCTATAAGTAGTACTATAAGTAGACGATAGATCTGATACTACTTTACACTCTCCCTCTCTGCCAGGGTCACTTTTTGCTCAGCTGTCTCTGCAGATAGGCTATTCGCAAAGGCCCACCACCTCATCAGAGCTAGGCTTTCCGGTGTCATGCGGCTGCGATCTGGAACCTTTCTTTGTGGCTAATTTGAATGCTCTTCTTCACTTTGATAGCTGACCCAACGACCGCGGCAACTGAAATGTGGCAACAGATCAAATCACGGGAAATCCTGAGTCGTATTCTGGTTTCTGGTTCTACACAAATCCCTTCAGCATAACCGTTTATCCCAAATGTACATCAACCAGACTCATCGGCTGACCTTTATTGGAGAGAGTGAATCAGTTTCTAAAAGCTTTGTAATAAGCATATTCGACATATTCATACATTTTGCAAGTTTATGAAGCAAACTGCCTTCTGGTAGCCAGCAAAAGTATCCTTTTGGGGCTAAGTGAAAGATTTTGTATCATGTTGTTGTGAGTGTTTACTCATTCTTGACTCTTCTGTTAGCATTCGTTTAAAGTTTATTTTTGCCGGTCAGAGTAAAAATTTCATAGATAAATAAAAGCATTTATGAATATACAGACAGACATAATGACAGATTTAATCGCATACAGGCGGGTAAGACAGAAAGTAGACTGACCTACAAATAGACAATCATGCAGGTGTAAAGACACACAAACAAGTTAAATTCATCCACCCTATTTCATTTAATGTGATGAAGAACTGGTACTTGAATTTCAACACAATGATATGAATAGACTTTACAGTTCCATCGAATTTCACATATTATTGAAAGATGTTGTGGCCTCTGGTATGGTCGCAGTCTCTTTTCGATGTATGGAAATGGGTTGACCTCATTGTCGAAACTTGGTCTTGTTGTCAGGGCAACTTAGTAGAACGCACCTAATCCGAAGTCGTCTACCAAAGTAGTTGCCATGATTCCCAGCATCCGACAGTGGACTTGATACTTTATCTTTCAAGATAGCCAGCTCGTTAAAATCCTTTTATTTTGCTTTAATTTCAACAAAATAACTCGTGGCCAACTAAATAATTCTGCATATAAATACATGAAATTGACTAAAAGCAAAAATAAAACTTACTACCATATGAACTCTCGTCATTTACTAAAAAAGATTTACTGAAACAAGCACGGTTCAAATGCAAAAAAAGTACATCAAAGCCCTGAGCTGAACTGATACGATAAGTTTGTCTTCACAAAAATGTTATCTCAGGAGATTCATCTAAATCCGTTTTTTATTCATCACCTTCAACAGAAATGGAGCCAAAATATTTAGACCCATTTAAAACGCACCTCGGGTTCGTGAATTAGCTTCACTCATCTACAATCATGTAGATTAAGGTTAAAGTAGCCAATCAAATCGTGGTCGAGTATGGATACCCGCTCTGATGATGTCTGTCATGGTGGTACAGACGAAAGGTTAACACAGTTTCATCGGGGTCGCAGGACAGTGAGCCTTTGGTGAGATCACGTCACGAATTACTTCCTACTAATTGTCCCTTCGAAATGGAGAGAAAGGATACAATATTTCACTAAGGAATTCTTCAAAACCCAAATTTCTTCATATTTAGACCAATTATTTTACAGACAAACGGATGGATATATGAACAATCTGGTAGAATGACAGCTGTTCGCAGAGACTGTGATGGACAAAGGGATAATTTCGGAACCCACTTCAGAAGAGTATAGGAAAAATATGGACTTTAAATGCATGGCATACACTTTATTTGGATTAAGGCAATGAAAGACTGGTAGTCGAATTTTCCTACAATCATATGACTAAGACTCACTATTCCATTGCATTTCACATGGCCTTACTTCCCAAAAGTTAGCATAAAACAAAATATGGATTGAGCCTATATCATGGCCTGGTGACCTACCTAATTAATTTTGACACTTGACTTCTGTGGCATGTCCATATCAAGTACAAACAAAACTAAAAATGTTTCTATAGAAATCTATTAAAAAGAATTACCATACAAGCTGATATGTGGTCGTTGAGGGCGACTTACGTCGTTGTATAATTTGTTGATCTGATCGCGTTCCAAAGTTAGGCCTCTGACGTTGTCTTGAATCTAAAATAAACGCAAAATATTAGTTTTCTATTCATTCAGGCACAAAGTATTCTGTAAAGGCAAGAAAGAAAAGCTAAAGCTCTTGACGTTTTGAAGGTTTCTGTCTGCCTACTTTATGTGCTTTTCTGATAAGACTGGCTTTACTGGTCGAGCTTGATAGGGGACACAGTTTACAAACTGTGGGGGTTGCGAAATTTGGTGTGAAATGGTAAAATGGCCAGAACTCCAACATCATAATTGACATTTAAAAAATTTACTCAGGGCTTTGGTGTGAATCGTACCCATTTTATACTCATTCTTTTTTGGCACTAAATTAACGGCAGGATACTTATACATCGCTACGCAATGCCGGTCATAAATCAGAGTGATCAACATGTTCTCCTTTAATTTAATAGTCAAGCCTAATTACTTCTTACTCAACTTAATAGCAGCCTTCTTCAAATGCCAAATATTTCATAATCCATTAATTTCAATAGCCTCTATTAACAGCAGACGTACCATAATGAGCAAACCAACTAGTTTGATGACATGTCTAGTCTCTGGCCCCTTCTGGCCGTTCGACTCAATTCCCTTTTGTATGTAAGTAGAGTTTCGA